TCTGATCCTTTCATTTAAATCTTTTCTATTCTTATATTGTTAAAAAAAACAAAATATGTTTGGTCAAATAATGCGCTAACAAAAATCCATTCAGCCTTGCATTTTGTTTCATCTGAATAACACTTTACATTTTTAAGGTATTTTTTCCACTTTTCACCATCAAATGTATTCGGTTTGACAACATTATAAAAATCATCTTTCGAATTTTGTCAATATAATAGTTAAGCTATGAATCTATATAAGAAATTTCTTTTTCATCTGTCTCCTCCTCTTCACTTTCAACAATTTTTTTGAAATCCATATTGATCTTTATGTGCAGAAATTTATATCAATATTTATTCAAAGCTTTTTGATAAAATGGAATTAGGTTGTAACCAAATAGTGAAACATATTTATATGTTGATTATCTGCAAGCGAGCGAAATCCAGCATGTTGATAATTACTAATTGGATATAAATATAAATTATTTAATTCTTTTCTGCCCATGATTAACATAATTCGGTCCAGCACTATAAAATTTGAACCTAATGTTTATACTAATTTTAACAATAAATAATTCGATTTTTATAATTTTACATAAATACAAATTTAATTCAAAGTGAAGTGATCCGTAATTAAAATGTCTACGAAGTTGGAATTGGAAAAATATTTGGGAGATAATCAGATGATCAGCAACAATAAATATTCACTTTATTATATAACGTTGTATTTAGATCATTTGCTCACGATATTAGACTGAAATTTTTATTATATAATGATGTATTTTGATCGTTTGCTCATGATATTAGACTAAAATTTTATAAATATAACTGTTTATTAGCCTTGTCTCCAGAAACTTAGTAAACTGAAATTTTTATAAATTGGTATTGTTCATTACTTAAGAAGAGGCTATAATGTCTGAGAATGCCGAAAACTTCGACCAGTCTTTGGATACAAATAAAGGTAAGAATATAATAGAGTTAATACATTTAATAAATTATGACTGTATATTTTAGTTTCATAAAAGTTTTCTTGTCAAGATTAGCAAGCTAATGCAATTTCTTTGCTATAAATAAATTTGGGAATCTTTTAAATTATATCACTGCAATGAATATCTCAGCAAAAATGATTGAAGAAAGATTGTATGGTCCTGTTTATTTTTCCTTCGGAGAGGATATTTTTTCTATCAATGAGATCTTCTTAGTCAGGAAGCCTGACACGTTCATGTCTATATTTTACAAAAATTCTGATGATAATTAAGTTGTCTTTATTAGTTGTCTTTATTTATTTACTAATGATTTGCTTTATTAAAATTATAGTAAGTAATTTTGAATCTTTACAAATCTTTATTATAAGGTTAATTTATTTTTATTTTAAGGATAGGAAAGTTCGAGTACTTAAAATGACTGAAATTAGCCCTTTGATGACTCCGGTCGTAAAAGATTATTATGAGAATGATATTATTCCAATTTATAGTATCAAGTATGGGATTGAACAAAAAAAGTTTGAGAAGGACTTGGATTGTTTGTTAATCAAATCTAAAGAAACTTTTAAAGACAAATTGCATCATTATGATTCAGATATTCTGTGTGATTTTGTTCAAGAAATAGCTAACTATGCGCATAAAAAGTTTTTTCGTTCTAACGTTCTTGAGATATGTTTTCATTTTCATTATAGGCCATTTGTTAATTATAGTAGAGAATGGCGTGTTTTTGTTGAAGGGGGATATGGGTTTTATTGTGTTTCTGAGTATTTTTAATTTATAAAGAATGGGTTTTTAGAATATTTTCCAAATTTTAAGATAAGTGAGAAGGCTGATAAGTTTTATAAATCTAAATCGATTGTGATTGAGAAGGTGCTTGACAAAAAAAGAGTCGTCGAAATGGCTGAAAATACATTCAAGAAGCATTTGATATATGTGGAAGATGATGATTAATTTTTGTAGAAGTATTAGATTTTATGTGCATAGGTTCATTATTGCAGTCGTTATTTTATGCTACATCACATTATATTTCTTATGAAATTAAGAAATATCCAACATCGATGCAATCTAATTTTCCATAGCAAATTTATTAGTTTTCGTAAATTTTTAAATTTGTAAAAATCACGATGCTGCCAAATTTTTACGCGTTACTCATAAACTACTTTATTTTACGAGTGCCCTGCGTATACATGGCAGATAAATACAGCAGTACAAAAAAACTCAATTTGCATTTTCCAAGTACAAGATGTATAATATAATTAAAATCATCCGATTGGCTGTCGATCCTGTCAGCTTTCTATTAATTTAAATGCAAAAGAAAAAAATTCTTACGACATAAATTGTCTTTAAATTCAAATAATTAATGTCGCAGCTGATGCGGGGTCTCCATTTAGAACTAGAAAACCTAAAACCCATCTATACACTTTAAATAATAAACCCTGACCCTAAACTCTACTCAAACTAGTGATATGCCATTTATATAATGCCCGAAAAATTTTAGCGTACAGTATATAACGAATTATTAAATATAAAATGTGAACAATATAAAATAATAAATGGTCGTGAAATAGAAAATTGTAGTTATGAATTTCTATTAGACCTGGAAAAAAAAATAAAAATTACAGAATGTCTAACCAAATTAGAAAAAATAATTAAGGAACCCTAAAAATTTTATAGTAGGACAGGGGTATTTGACAATACAATTTTAAATGAAAATTATATAATATTGAATTGTATAAAAAAATTCTCAACTTTACGATAGTGCTGTGAATTAATAAATAAACTAATAATTAAACCAATAATTTACAATTAATATAAATAAACTAATTATTAGTTTAGGTATAGGTGAACGAGAAATACAGTATATGGAAAGTATTAGTTTTTGGCATTATTTTGCATAGAAATTTTGTGAATGACTAATAAGAATCAAAACTCGTCATATTATATGATTTCGCATCTCTGATTGCATCTCTGAAAGTTTCTTGTCTTTCAACACATTAAACAATTTTATTTCAATTAGATTGTCAGAAAAGGCATAATTGGACAAATAAATTATTTAATATTTAACAACCCATTCAAATACATGAAAAATAACATTACAATACTTAATTACATGTATGGTTGTTAATGTGATGCTAATTGTCACATATCAAAACTTCCTTGAATGATTTTGCTATACGTCTTTCTAACATTTAACCCTAACTTAATTTGTAAATATATTGCGATTTATTGAAATATTTATTGTATTCTTATATGGAACATAAAAATCATGTTCAATTATTCTAACTTTCATCAGCATTTTTTAAATATTGATTTTGTATTTTGCAGGATTAAATTTGAAGCAATAATAGAACTTTTTTTATTGAGTGAAGCAGCTGGTCCTCCTTTTTTATTTTCAAATCGGAAGTTGATCGAAGGAAAGTTATCTGCTTCCTCCTTCGATGTATTGAATCCATAAATAATCAGCTATAGATGACGAAGTGATCGAGCCTGCTAAATGTATTCCTTGATTGGAATGCTTCTATAAGTATACTGTAACATAGTTCAGTTGTTCGTGAACTAGTTCATAGTTGACCCAGGCATTAAATTTTTTTTTTAAAATATAGAATTGTTTGATTTCTATTGACGGCAGCCCATGTATGTTTTAATTATTAAATTTAGAAATTAGTCATGAATAATAATTTACTAATTTCCTGATTATTTTCATTAAGTTATGTATTATTCTAAGATTTGTAATGAAATTGAATTAAAATATTAAAATCAATAATGCTTTTTTTTTGATTTTATCATGCTTGTACATAACTCTCTTTATCGATAAAAATAAAAATTATTTGCCTTAAAGTTATACTCTTGACCAATATTTTACTATTTCTATCGATTCTTTCTATTATTTGGAATAAAGAAATTTCTATACAATCAGTTCAATTCACAACTCTGGTAAACATGATTTTAATTCTGTGAATTAATTTACAACACAACATAATTATGTAGAATAAATTATATGTAATTTTGGTCATGCGAATAAATTTATATAATTCATATATGTCACCCATCTTTTTATTATACTGTGTATAAACTGAAAGTATAAATCGATCTGAATATAGAGACCATTATATTCTAACTATTCTTATCTTATTCTAAATATTATCTTCTAGTTCTTTTAAACTTTTTCAATAAGATTATAATCATTAATGGGTGATTGATATTTTTCCTTGGTATTTTTAATAAGTTCATTCCATTTAGCTTTTGGCATAATCTTTTATCTGTTTGGATCAATTTTTTTGCTTTAAAATTAATAAATATTTTTACAAAATAATAATACTCACCATATAATTTAGATTAGTAGTAATTAAATCAATAGTAAAATACTCAAACTCTTATAAAATTGAATTAGTACAATCTTAGTAAACGATAAAGATAAAAATTTATTTGCATAAGTAAATAAAAAATTGGTTACGTGTGATAATTAATCATAGATAAAATAAAAACAATTCATTTTAATTACTAGAAGGTTCGAATATTGTCTAAAATTATTTAAATCATGCAAGTATTGATTACAAAACTGCCCATGCAATTAATTATTAATTGTGGTTATTTTTTGTTATAAATTCTGGCTAGTTATTTTTTCCATTTGATTTTATTCACCTATAGAAAAAACATCATTAATCTTTGACCTTAATGGTTTGTTGGTGGTAAATAATTTTATTGTACTGTAAAAAAAGTTAATAAAGTAAATTTTACTAACAAGATATTTAGAATTCTGAAAATGAGTACTTTGAATCGATATCAAATTTGTTTACCTACTACAATGTCGAGTATAATTGGAGCATCCATGCCACTCAATTAGGTTTAACAAGGAAAGAATCAAACGAAATACTTATAAACAAGATAAACGAGTCTCTCAAGAATAAATGTTTAAATGCGGCCGAATTAGAAAATATTAGAGTTCAGTTTGCCCCAAAATTTAATAATATTAAATTGATGCCCGGTGCAAAAGAAGTTGTAGAAAAAATACGTGAAATCGGTGTGACGAAATTATTTGTAAGTAAGAATTTTAAATTTGAATTAATTCATCAACTAATTTCGTCATTGTGTAGATTGCCACGAATTCTACACGTGATGAATTCAAAAAAAAAATATCAAAATTCGAAAATTTTGTTTCTTTTTTCGATGAAATAATTTATGGAGATGATATCGAATTAATGGAATGCAGAAATAAATATCAAGCAGTAATGGACCGAATGTCTTTGTCACCAAACGAATGCCTGGTCATTGAAGATTCTCCGCGTGGAATATACAAAGCCATTGAACAGAATTTAGAAGTAATATGGATTCAAGACCAAAGGATGAAAAAGTATTTTCATGAAAATTACAAAGATCTTTACGAAAATGAGAATGTATATATTTTAAAATCGTTAAATGAAGTTTATGATAGGTTGTAATATATGATGTAGGTTGTAGTAAATGTTTAAGGTCATAATGACTGCTGTAGGTTGTAATAGATATTATAGGTTGCAACATTTGTGTATTCTATGATTTCTTTGAACTTATACAAAAAATTGCATATTTAACGAAAAAAAGGTATAAAGAACAATAAACTTTCTAAACTCTTTTAAGAGTTACTTGACACACTTAAATCTTATTGCGACAAAAAATCTTCTATATAACATAATACCCACTATTCGTCGGACTTTTGGGCCTTTTGAAGTAATTCAAGCACAAATTAGGTAATTTTAATTTTTAAATAAATATACTTAATAATAATATTGTTTTGACCAAAATTTTAGAGGAATTCACTTTCTTAAACAACAAATACGTATAATTGATAACAGTATTTATATATTACGAAGTCGATTTTATTGTATAGTCTGACCTCCCTATATTCACCTTCTATATAAGCACATTTTTTTTATAAGCATATTTTTTTTAAAACAAACTACTATTTAATATAATAAATTTGGCCTCTATAACTATCACGCTTCTCTACAATCATGCATTTTTGTATCCCACTTGTGTGATTATAGAGAGGTTTGATTGTATTTCTTAATACTGTAATTTTTTCACCCAACATGCTGAAAAAAAAATAAATAATCCAAAGAATAAAAGAATACGTATTCAGTTCCGCGTATAAATTCAACGCCCTAACTAAACTGTTTATCTAATAGCTTATTCAGATTTTTTATTTTATTATAGTTTTTTGCATTATGAGGTATTATGTTTTTTTTTATACCATTATGAAATGATGCAAAATTTGTAAACTCAAAATCAATACAAATTGAATTAAGTAAATCGTGTGAATTTAAGAAAAAGATAAAACGAAAAATCACATTCTTTAAATAAAAAATGGCGTCAAATTAATTATTACAATGCGGCATTCCTGTATATATACTGTAATTCAATTAAACAATTCGAAATCTTCCTTTGAATGAATTTATGTTAAAAAATAAGTTGTATAAATTTCAGGAACTTCTATAAATAAACATGCTGCCAAATCAAAAAGCAGATACAATGATCGACAACCTTTTGCAATTATGGAATTTGAGATATTAAGAGTAATAAGTGAAGATAAATACTGCGAAAAAGAATTCGTTAACAGCAAACTCAAAAAAAAACAAAAAACTGTTAAACAAATTTTAAGTTTAAATTTTTGGCCAGAAAAATTAGAAGAAAAATCAAAATTTCTTACTCACAATCTTGTTGAAAAACCTCTTGCTCACAATCTTGTTTATTTATTGTACGATTTTGATAAAGAGTCTATTAAAAATAAAAAGCAAGCAGCAGAACAAGTTAATAAAGCTATCGAACAATTATTTTCTACCTATATTTTAAATGATCCTTCAATCTTAAAAACTACCACAGAAAAGATCATCATTAGAATTGAATTTAAAGGATATAAAAGCCTAAGAGACCTTATTAATGATGACAACTTGGTCCTCAACTTTAGACTAAGTATCAATAATGTAAAACAAGATAAAAAAAAAAAAAACTTCCAAATAATTTGACTAAACAAAATTAATCGCATTCGAACTAACTTTACTTATTACCGATTATTTCTTGAATAAATGGATTAGTGATGAGAGATGTCTATAATTTCCTTTAACTTGCTCCAAAAAAAACCAAAATCTAAAAAATCGATAACAAAAATCATCGTTGTAAGATTTAAAATAAATCAGATTAAAATGAAATTATATAATGTAAAAAAAATAAACAGCCACCGAGGGGTTAGGGTTAGAGGCTCAGTATAGTTGTTAGACAAAACCATGTGATGATAATCCTCACCTGTCATAAAATACCAAGACCTAAAAATTTAATCTAGTTTTTATTAATTATTGATATGTGACATTTAGCATCACATGGTTTCGTCTAACAACTATAAGTTAGAGGTTAGTGAATTTTATGTCACAAAAAGATAAATGAAAAAGAACCGATGATTTAGGTAAAAAAAGAAAAAAATAAAAATTTATCCCATACAAATTGGTCATATAATTAAACTTTAGATTTTTACTTTACAATTTACAATTCATAACTCAGTTATGATTTGTACAAAAATAAAATTGTTACAATTTGAAGTATACATCTTAGATATCGTGGCGCTCAGTATTATAAAGTAATTTAATTACCCGTAGAAGATTAATGCTTGATTTACTTTTATTTCAAACAATAAGTTGTTCTTTGATTGGGTTTGATCTTGAATACAACGAAATTGGAAAATGTGAAAAAATACCTTAAAAATGTAAAGTGTTATTCGGATGAAACAAAATGCAAGGCTGAATGGATTTTTGTCAGCGCATTATTTGACCAAACATATTTTGTTTTTTTTAACAATATAAGAATAGAAAAGATTTAAATGAAAGGATCAGA